ATTAGTTACTCATCAAGAATAGTATCTTCTGGATATTGCTTTAATCGACCTACAATCACAACTGAGCCCAACATTTCTGTTGCTAAGAGAGGCAGTTGTGAAGTGAATTTTGCCCCATGTTATGGCCTTTCTTGCTACAATTGTTAAGCGAATCACTGCAGTTGTTAAGTGAATCAGGTTTCCCCATTTTGCTTGTCAGAAGGTTGCAAAAGGTGACCACATGATCCCGGGATATGGCAAGCATCATAAATATGAGTCAGTTTCATCAAGTGTCTGAATTTTTATCATGAATTATGACCATGGGGATTCTGCAATGGTTGTAAGTGTGAAAAACAGTCACAAGTTACTTATTTCAGTGCCTTTGTAACTTTGAATGGTCACTAAATGAACTGCTGTAAATCCAAGACTACCTGTACTGCTAAATGATATTTTACTTTTTTGTAGCATACATAAAAAGTAGTTTTCTACTAATCAAGTTAGTCCATTTTCCATTTATTCTTACTACTTGATCAGACCAAATAAGTTTTTTGAAATTCAGCTATATATGGTTTATTAAGAGGACAGTGAAAGACCATAGCATCTTCTACATATTCCCGGAAACTGCTATGGCCCAAAAAAGGTGATTGGCCAAACACCAAATCATTTGTCATAGCACTAAGTTATCTGTCTATGATAAATAATAATGATATTGTCTGGCCCTGTTCAAGGCAAAGATTATATTTTATTTGTAACATTATGTATACGCCACACAAAATAAAATAGCACAAATCATATATTTGGACAACTTTTAAGCAATATTTATTTTGGGGGAATTATAATTGGTGTATTATTATTATAAATTCTGTTGTTGTCTAAATATGCTGTAGGTCAAATAAAAGGATGCCATCTAAGACTGAACATCTGAACATATGCCATCTAAGAAATGAATTCAGCATTAAAGAAATGATGGAACTTTAACATTTGTATTAGTGGGGATCATTTTAAATATATGTGCCTTATGTAGTATTCATGAACGCACTTCAGCAATTCCTTGGCATATCCAGAATGTCATCACATCAACTTCGCTTCATTGTCCCTGACCCTTGGAAATGCAGCTGGCAACACCTGAGCAGTCATGAAAGACTTGGAGAACTGGATCAAATTTTATAACAAGAGGAAAGACTGATAACAGCATTCTGGTTTTCAACATATGGGTCACAATGAATAATTCTTTGCAGGACACCAGAGTGAAACAATTATTTGTGAAAAAACACAGGCACTCAAAAAAGCTGGCTTCTCTGCTAGCCAGGGGACTATTCAGAAAATAACAGGTCTCAGACCAAACAGGTTTGTGGAGGAAAAGACAAACTGTGTAGACAATATTATGCATTTCACAAAAGTATAAAAAGTAAATCATTTTTCAAGCTGAGCTTTATTCTTAAAGAGATGTAGTTGTTTCCTCAGCAAAAACAGAACAGCTATGCCAGTTGCTTTCTTCCCTGATATTCCTAAAGATTTCCCACAATGCAGTCCTTGGCCTGCGATTCTTAATGGAATCCTTTCCAAAAGCTAAACAGGACTACATTATTTTACCCTCTTTGTTGTGACAATACTTTATACTCAATTTAAATGTAACAGGAAAAGATGTGGTATCATTTTGTGCTCAAGGATTCCAATCTTTGTTTTAAAGGAGGTATAGAGACACATTGGGCAGAACCACCTCACATTCAATAACCTTTTTAATAAAGTTCATATTCATAATGTTTAAACCTGTAATTTAGCATAGAAGGAGAGCAGTGAATTTGGTAAAATTGCATTTTACATAATAAAAAAAAAAATAAACTTGCAGTTTTTTAAAAAAAAAATCTGTGGAATTTTCATGGAACTTGAATAATGTAAATTCCTAGCAACCATCCAGAATAATTGGAGTCAGGCAACATATAATAATTAGCAATGACATAACACAATTGCCATAATTATTTACTGGAATATATGTAAAAATTATCAAGGGCCTATAATGAAAAATTGCTGGCAACATAAAGTTGAAAAAAGTATCTGAAAATGAACAGTTAAAACATTGTGGGATTTCTAAATCCTAGCTGATAAGGTCTTGGTACATCAGATTTAATTGTGGTTGAAAAGAAGAAAGTGTAGATAATTGATGTGGCAATCCGAGGAGTTAGCAGAAGAGCAGACAAAGAATTGGAGATCACAAAGTATCAAGCTCTGAAAATCAAAATTGAAAGATGATGGCATAAATCAGCTGTGTGATTGTCCCAATGCTTATCAGCACACTGCATGTCCTACCCTTCCCTCCCCCCAAAATTATATGGCATTGACAAAATTTCCACTCGTCAATTACAAAAGGCCATACTGCTAGATCTGCACATATTACGACATCCAAATCTTATGGGAACGAAATAAAAACATGACTGGCTGTACCATTTAAAGAAAATTTATATAAACTGTTTTACAGATGGCACATGCCACCATCAAGATTGGCCACAATGTATCCAAAGCTTTCCCCCATATGTTGGAAGTGCAACAAAGAAAAGGGAACGTATTATCATTTACGGTGGAATTGCAAGGAAGCACAACAATTTTGGCAAAAAATTCAGAAATGGTTAGAAGAGATATACATAATTAAAACAGAATATAGACCTGATTTTTTTCTGTTAGGAATCAATGTGGGGAAATATGACAAGGACATTATATATTTAATAATTCATATAATCACAGCTGCGAGATTGGCTTATGCACAACAGTGGAAATGTAAAAAAACTCCAAGTGAATTTGAAATAATTAGGAAAATCTGGATGTGTGCAGAAATGGACAAATTGACAAAGGAATTAAAAAATAAGGATGAATTGGACTATTACAAAGTATGGGATAACTTTTATGGTTGGTTAGAAAAGAAAAAGGATCAAGACAATAAGAAATGATTAAATGTATATATTATAGATAGATAGATAGATAGATAGATAGATAGATAGAAAGTAAACATACACTATTTTTATGAGACTTAGTAATGTAAGACAACTATGTCAGTCAGGAGGATTGTACCATGTTCAATGTTTTTAATGTTTCTTTTTGTTTGTTTTTTTATATTTGTTTGTTTAATAAAAAGTTATAATTAAATTTTTTTACAGTGTTAAATGTCAGTGTTACTTATTTGCTTCTTTTGGTGGACTACCTAATGAAAATAATTAAATAACAGTAA